ATATGTATATATATATATATAGTAGTGTATATGCTATAGTATATAATATATATAATAAATATAAAATTGTTTTTTATAAACTACAATATATTGCTGTTGAACAATGTTATCATATTGCAAAGGTTTTATCAATACTAAAAATTCAATATGGAAACTGGTAGAAGATCCAATTATCAGATGCGGAAAATGTAATCTATTAATAAGTGCGGGCTTTAGTTAAAATATTGCTCGTTTGTAATATCTTCAACGGATAAGAAAGTTATTTGCGTAATTTTTTCTTTAACTCTTTTTAATCATTAGGCGAATCATGCCTTATCATATCTCATTTTACACGTTATCGCACTTATCGCGCGGTCGAACTTTTCTATTATTGATATCTTCTCGGCTTTACACGTCACTACGTCTATATTTAAACATTTCCTTAATGAACTTATAAGATTATATCTATTTAAAGTATTACAAGGATTTTCTTTCGCCCAGGATTATCTCTTTATATAGCCATTCAAAAATAAATATCTATCATGGGTTTAATATATACGTAACATTATTGCGTAATAAAATAAATTAATAAAAAATAATATGAAAATAGCTGGCAATTAATCTTTTTTATACACATTGCTTGAATAAATATATTTTATTAAGATATATTTTATAGAATGTCGAGAAAAAAAACGATAAAGTTATATAGTTGTAAATATATAGTTGTAAATTGATGAATATTAATCGAATTATTCGAGTACCAAAGCATTTTATCTACTGTCGAAAGAATCGCCTTACCGTACAGCATTCGATTCATGAGAACGATTTTATGTTGGTAAAAATTGTTGGCAATAATTCTATGTGACTTTGTAAGATAAAAAGTAAAACTTTCTGAATCTGCGTATCAAATAATATGTAATCATGAAATACTAGTGCATATCATACGCAATTACGGTGTATATTTATATTTTTTAAATCTAAAGTTATTACATTTTTGCAACCTTTTTACAAAAGAAAATAATTTCTATTCTCTCTGTTATTGCTACAAAAAGCAAAGTAGTTGAGCAAATCACGTAATTTTGTAATCCATAATTTTACGCTATATTGAATCGCAAGAAAAATTGTGCAAGAGACAACAGTATAG